CTATCAACGATTACTGATTGGTTAAGTGCGGGTTAATGTACAATAAATATATATATATAAAAATATATATATATATATATATATATATATATATATATATATATATATATATATATATATATATATATATATATATATGTATATATATAAACTGCAAAAAATCGAATTCTAGTCTAGAATATAATATTCTTATTTTTTAGATTATTTTTCTTATTTTAAGTAAATATTTCTTATCAAGAGATATTTCAAAAAAAAAATCTAGTTTTAAGAACAAAAATGTTAAAGTAAGAAAATGTAACTAGGCAAGAATATTCCAGAGAATTTTTTTCTTATTTTAAGAATAACATTTTTGTATCGTAGAATAATATTCTTATAATTAGAAAAACAATCTTGAAATGAAGTTTAATATTATTTATCGCAGATATCAAACCTTTCTTTCGGCAACTTTTGCATGGCTGAAACGAGATATGATATTGAATTGAATTAAACCTAGTTCTTTCGTATATCTTTCACTTTTTTTGTCAAATTAGAGGCTGAACGGCTCTGTCCTGAATTGTCGGAGTTTCAACATGGCGGATATCACAATGAATTTGTATATGGCCAATGAATTGTTATTGAAAAATAAGAATTATGCATGAATTCAAATCATTTGCAACAATCGTCTATCTACACTTTAATGAAGATGGTATGATCCACCCCAAAAAATGATGTGTAAATTTACCCAAGATTTTGCGTAAATATCACCGCATGTTATGACATCACGATTAATGCTGTCACATGTTATGACATGCGATACGTTAATAAACCATAAAAATTTTATATTATTGCAATTTGCATATAACTTTTTTAGAAAATCTATCTCATTATTCGCTTACAAGAATTTTCATCATTTTTATAATCATTTTTTGGCCAGAAACCGCCAGATTAATGCCGCCTACAGTTTCAAGCTAGCGCTACGATAGATTTGGAGCGCTCTTTGGTGTATCTATTTTAGAGGACAAGGGCCACGCACCCAATGAGTTGTGGGATATCGTGTATCAAATGTCTATAGTGTGATTTGCAAATTTTCGACTTTTTCGTTTGAGTATATTTTGCCCAAGAAGACCATGGTATTTATCTTATTTTGTACTGGATAAGTAACTCCGAATCCTGCCGAAGGCTTATTGATCTCAGGTATGAAATATTACTGTTTATAATATAGCATTTGTAAATTCTGAACGCTGATTGGCTAAGAGCCGTGTTGATATAACTCCATGTCAACACGGGAAATTTTCCGCCGCTTGTAACACGGAAATTGTTCTTATTCTTCGGGCTTTTGACATTACTATATTATAAAAAAAATATAAAACATTTTTTTCCGTATTGATATATAGTTTTATAATATAGCGTTTGTATATTCTGAACGCTGATTGGCTAAGAGCCGTGTTGATATAACTCAATGTCAACACGGAAATGTCGGAAAGTTTCTTTTTTTATATTTGTTTGTGCTATATTATAAAACAAATATAAAACATT